CCACCATGCCCGGCTAATTTTTTGTAATTTTAGTAGAGATGGGGTTTCACCGTGTTAGCCAGGATGGTCTCAATCTCCTGACCTCGTGATCCGCCTGCCTTGGCCTCCCAAAGTGCTGGGATTACAGGCGTGAGCCACCGCGCCTAGCCAAGAACATGTGCTTTCTTTCTGTGCTTGCCTTATTTGACTTCACTCCCGCCTTACCTTGTCTTGGCCAGCATGGCCTGGGCAGGAGCGAGCTGGAGCCACCACGCCTCCTGGGCTCCCGCAAGTTCCACACTCAACTCTCCTTGATGGTCTACCCAACAAATACTTTACAGCCCCTTTCGAAGTCTGGGGCAGTTCCAGCCTCGCCAGGACTCCTCCACCCCGTGCACCTTCCCATCCCAACCCTCGCCTTCCACAGGGCTACCTGGTTTATGATGAATGTTGCCTAATGAGCCACACTTGGAGGTCACCTTGCTCAGGTCAACTGGTTTGTAGACTATTTGCACCTGGAGATGAGAGAGGAGCGAGAAGAGGAGAGGCAGAGAGAGAAGAAGACAGAGAGACAAAGAGGATAAAATGGGATTATTTTATTAAGGGTGTAATGCAATGAGAAGCAGCTGTGTAAGCCCAGGCCCTGATTGGACAGTGGTTCCCAGCTGCCATGAGGCGCGCACCCTATTCAGGGTGGAAAAATGTGTTGTCGAAATTCTGCCAACCCTGCCCCAGGGGAGCTGGGGACTGTGGGATTGGAGTGTCTTCAATCCCTGCAGAACAAAAGAGCCTCTGGGAAAAACAGGGACCCGTTGTCATTGTGCAGGGCCCAGACATTTGCTCAGCAAAGGCTTAAGGGTAAAAAAGTCACTCCTTTTCCTAACATGAAATCGACAGATCACAATCAGACATGAAGAAAAAAGTGATCAATACGATGAGTATGCACAGCATCTGAAAAATCTTGCTGGAAAGGCCGGAGCGCGGTATCTGCTGGGCCTCAAAGAGGGGAGGCGCTGTGGGGGTTGATGGGTGGGCTTTATTCCAGGAAAGCTTCCACGGACAGCGCTAGAGCAAAGACGGTCAGTAAGCAGGACCCAGCGGAGTTCAGCAGCTCGGGCGTGAGAGCCAGCGGGCACCTGCACACTCAGGGTCCTGGGCATTCCTGTCTTTAGCAACAGGAGCAAAGCATCATCAACAGGGTGGGGTAGGCGGCACAGCAGAAACCAACAGATTGAATGTCTCAGCAAGCTCGAGCGGACACAGACACACATGGGGAGGCCTGTGGGATCCAGGGCACCGCTCCCTCGGGGAATGACAGTCCTGAGCTGCCAGCTGATCTCAGTCCAAGAGCCAGCTCCCCTGGGGGGGCACCCTGTGGGGACTCCGAGTGGCAGACAGACAGGTCCCCTGGAGGCCGACATCTGTGAAACCGTGACTGTGTGCGGCCTGGGGGCGGGTCATGACTGACATTCTGGAGTCCCCAGGGCCTCCGGCAGTGGCCTTGTGTGGGTCACCTGAGGGTGCAAGGGGGCAGCCACCTCCCACCTATCAGTCAGCTCCCCAGGAAGCCCTGCCCTGGAGCTGCCTGGGAGACAGCTGGCTTCATGGCTGAAGATGGTTTATCAAGGCCACCAAAAACCAAGGTGCAGTGGGGGCAGCGGTTCCCGCTTCTACTTAGGTCTACACTGGAACCATCCCAAATTATTTTAACGTCAGCTGGCGTGTGCTCTTTATGGATGGGGAGTTAACTGGGGCAGAGATGGCTGAGGCCCATGTGTGTCAGGGCGGACATGATCTGCGGCAAGGACGTGGGGGCAGGGAGGACGGACGGTGTGCGGCCTGGGTTGGAGAGAGCTGTGCTCTGAGGCCGGCGCTGAGGGGGTGGACCAGGGCTGAGGGAGGTGGGAGGACGTGCTGGTATGACCAGGGCCTCCTTCCCTCTTCCCTCTGGCCTTGGTGAGGAAACTCGTGAGAGGGGGAGGGGGGCTGGGACAGGGACCAGGGAACAGCCAGATAGGAGAGGAGTGGGTGGCAGTGGGAGCCAGGGTGGTGGTCAGGATACCTGGAGGCCAGGGAAGGGGACGGCAGGTCCTGCAGAACTTCCAGGGCCCAGCCAGGAGGAAGAAGGGTCCCAGGTGGAGAAGGTGCAGGGCCAACCTGCTGGGAAGGGGCCCCCAGGCTGGGGAGAGACTAGGGCCGCCTAGCCCTAGCCGCCGCCAGGGATCTAGTGCCCCCAGATGCCAGAGGCTGGCATCTCTTCTCACCAGGAGAAAGGCTTCCTGTGAAGGCGCTCAGAGGGCGATGCTCAGCCCGGGATATCTGGTGGCTCTCTGCCAGGTCACAGGCTAGCCCACAGACGAGCACAGCGTAGGACACACGGGCGGGCCCCAGGGAGGTCCCGGATGTCCTGGGCACTGCAGCGTCTTTGGGCATCAGCTACCAGAGGGGTTGGCCACACAGCCCGTGCGTGCTCTCTCCCCAGCTCCGCCTCAGGAGTGCAGTCTCCACCAGGCCGCCAGACTCGACTTCAACCAGAAAGCACATGGCCTTCCTTCTCTGGCCGAGCCCACTTTGAGGAAGCCAGAGAACCAGGATCAAAGCTCAAACAGCTGAACAGCAATCCCAGGAACAAGGACCTGGGCAGGGGTGGGGGCACACATCTCTTTTGTCCCCTCACAGCAGACAAACTGGGGCGACAGGAGAGCAGGGCGTGGGAGACAGAGGAGACACTTAGCAGACACTGGTGAGGAAGCGTTAGTAGCCCCATGCAGCAGCCGCAGGCCAAGCGCTTGCTACTTGTGGGACTCCAGGGGCCTCAGGGCAGAAGCCAGGATCCAGGTGCTCAAGGTGCTCAGTGCAGGAAGCAGCAGCTCATTGCAAGAATAAACCCTCTGGGCTGGATGTGGGTGGCTGCCCCAGGCCAGGCATTTTCCGGAGACAGCCCGCCCCGGAGCCACAGCAGTGTCCTGGTACTGCCAGCCAGGGTCAGGTGATTGCTCTCAAAAATCAACGCCTCCCTTGGGGTGGACCTCGAGGGTCTCATACCTCCAGCTCCCCAGGGTGTTAACAGTTTGCTTTCAGCTCACCAAGACTGCTGGTGGGAGACGAGCCTCCGGTGCCCCGTGGACATAGACCGGCCAGGGGATGATGAAGCCTCAGCTCATCGGGTGAGTCAGTGGGACTTGAGGATCTGAGTCCCGAATCTCACCAGGGACATTTAGAGGAAGCCAAATCTATTTATTTTCAAATTATTATACCATTGTTTTTTGAGACAAAGTCTCGCTCTGTTGCCTCAGTTGAAGTGCAATGGCGCGATCATGGCTCCTTACAACCTCTGCCTCCCAGACTCAGGTGATCCTCCCACCTCAGCCTCCCAAGTAGCTGGGACTACAGGTGCACACCACCACACCTGGGTAATTTAATTTTTTTTTGTAGAGACAGGGGTCTCACTGTTGCCCAGGCTGGACTTGAACTCCTGGGCTCAAGCAAACCTCCCGTCTTGGTCTCCCAAAGCGCTGGGATTACAGGCATGAGCCACCGCTTCTGGCCAGAGGCAGCCAAATCTAAAAGGGCCAAAAGCAGCATTTCTCTGCCACACCTCAACGCTGGGCAGAGGGACCTGTCACACTTTGGTTTGGCTCTTTGCATCTGGAGTCTCTGCCAGAGGGTGGTGCAGGCTAAGCATAAGTTGGAGGCTTAGGAATCCGCTCCTGCCTTGAACACATAGGAGGCACAGCTGAGCAGGAAGGTAAGACCTTGGTGTCCACTCATCAGAACAAACGGGTCACCTGTCCACAGTGGAGCCAGTCAACGTCAACCTGCCCAGGTGTCGGGGGAGGAGGCGGCAGCCCAGTCTCAGGTGCCACCACCTTCAGCCCAACTTTCAATGCGCTATGGGGCTCCTGGGGACAGGGCTGGGTGTGAGTGGAGGGAGACCTTGACGGGTATTCTCAGCTTCCCAGGCAGGGGCTGGAGAGAGGGTCCGTCAGACACCCTATTCTGTACACGCAGCCTGCACGGCCTGGGGAACCCAGAAATGCTGGGACACTCCCTCCTAGAACATGAGGAGGGGGCTTCTGGGAACAGTTGACTGTGTGAGGGAATGTGGGGAGCCGGGCTACATTCACCCAGGGGGCGCAGCCAGATCCTCAGAGCCCAAGGAGGATTTATTCTATGCAGTGTCTCGCAAGTGTACACACTCACGCCACTTCCTAAAAATTCAAGCCACAGCACGGCGCACGGGACGTGTGAAGGTACTCACACTGCCGCCTCCCGGGACATGTTTGATATTATCCTTTGAGCCACACTTGGACTGGACGTTGCTAAGATCCAGCTTCTTATTAATTATCTGCACCTTTGATAGCCAAAAAAAAGGATGAGTGACACGTCACCCTGGACCCGCCTGCTTGCTCGCAAGGACGCCTCCACTTTCGATGAGTGACACACACCACCCTGGACCCGCCTGCTTGCTCACAAGGACGCCTCCACTTTCGATGAGTGACACGCGTCACCCTGGACCCGCCTGCTTGCTCGCAAGGATGCCTCCACTTTTGGACTTGGCAGAGGCAGTCTGGGGAGTGGCGGGAGATTGAGTCACACCCCAGGGGAGCTGAAGGGACAGAGAGAGGGCTGCCCCGAAGGCATCCAACTGTGAGTGATTCCCTGCGGGCTTTACGAAGCTGGGATTGCAGGTCCTCACTTCACAAAAGGATGGCATCGTCAGGCCCAGACCCCAGAGGGGAGCGTTCACCAGCCTGGGGTCAGTGAAAAACGTGTTAGGCCACACTGATGAGTGAGTAACAGGAAGTTCCCTGGCATCTCCACTCACCCCTAGCTAGACCCACCGGAACATTCCCAGAGAACTTCCTGTGGCTGTTCTCAAGCCTGTTGGGCATCGGAATCACCTGTGGATTTTTAAAATCTCAGCCCCCAGCCCTAACCTAGAATTCAAATCTGGAGGAGTCTTTCCAGTCCCTCTGGTTTTGAAAAGTTCCCCTGGTGATTCTGACACACAGCCAGGTTTAAGAAGCCCTGTGCCCGCAGGCAGGACACAGGCCGCTTTGTGGGGAAGACAAATGCGGGGTGTCCCCTCTGTAAGAGGGCTCTGTCCCTGCAAGGGGGCAGTGCCTTCTCCTTCCATCCACCCACCAGCCCCCTCCCACCCACAGTGCCACCAGGTGCGTAACGGAAGCTGAGCAAATGCACCCGTGGGGCTTTTTCTCAGCTCTTCCATAAGCAGGGGTGGCCTGGATGGGTCTCCCGCGACTACATTTCTGGAAGGTTCTTTCTGTAGACACCCGGGAGGTATGAAAAATCAGCGTTTTGATGAGAAATGATTTTTACCAATTTGCCTAAAAACTATGAAATAGAAAACCAGGGTTTAGGGAGTTGGAAAAACTTGACATTTTGTCTGCCAGATCAGTGAGAACGTCTTCCTCACCCGGTGACCTTCCCCTCAGGAACTCTGGAAACAGTGGAAACAGTGTTTTTTTTTTTTTTTTTTCTTAGTGAGATAGGGTCTCACTTTGTCCCCCAGGCTGGAGTGCAGTGACATCATCACGGCACACTGCAGCCTCGACCTCCCTGGATTCAAGGGATTCTCTTACTTCAGCCTCCCAAGTAGCTAGGACCACAGGCACATGCCACCACACCTGGCAAATTTTTTGTATTTTTTGTAGAGATGAGGTCACGCTATGTTGTCCAGGATGGTCTGAAACTCCTGGGCTCAAGCAATCAGCCCACCTCAGCTTCCCAAAGTGCTGGGATTACAAGCCTGAGCCACTGCGCATGTAATCTCAGCACTTTGGTTTTTATTCGTCTCAGATGTAAATAATTGCCAAGTGGAGATCCCAGTGAAAGACCAGCCATGCCAAGGCGGTTTCCGAAATCTTGAAAGTGGCAAGAGCTCAGTGGCTCTTTTGAGAATGCTGGGTGGAGACCACTGCCCTGGAGGCCCCATCAGCCTGGGCTGTCGGGTCTGGGACTGGGACTCCAGCCTGGCTTCTGGTTCATCCCGTTTTTTCCCCTTAATTTTACTCATCTGAATCTTCAATATGAATCAACATCTAACTCATCTCTTCATAATCTTTTCTATTCTTTCAAACAGACTATGTATTTTTATTAGAAAATATAACAATTTTAAAAAATAGAGCTCATCAAAGCAAAAACAAAACCGTTTTCTTACCACCCTAACACAATCAGGATTGCATTTTCTGTATTTCCTTTAAGTCTCGTTTAGATGTAACCATCCCTGTGTACCTAAACTTGGGAGAATTACTGTGCACATGCAATTTTGTATCTTGCTCTAAGAAGTGATATCATATCCTAGGCTGGGCGCGGTGGCTCACGCCGGTAATCCCAGCACTTTGGGAGGCCAAGGCAGGTGGATCACCGGAGGTCAGGAGTTCGAGAACAGCCTGGCCAACAAGATGAAACCCCGTCTATAGTAAAAATACAAAAGTTAGCCAGGCATGGTGGCACGCAACTGTAGTCCCAGCTACTTGGGAGGTTGAGGCAGGAGAACCTGGGAGATGGAAGTTGCAGTCAGCTGAGATCGCGCCACTGAACTCCAGCCCAGGTGACAGAATGAGATTTTGTCTCAAAAAACAAAAAAGAACAAAAGAAGTGATATCATATCCTAAGCATTCTGTATGGTCTACGATCATCAGAAGCACTATGTTTAATAATATGTTCCATTCCATTTTGTGAATATTTCCCCCCTGCTATCCAACATTTGTATTGATTCCATTTTGTACTCCAATAATACAAACAGTCCTGCAGGAGCTGGATTTGATGCAAAGAAAAAAAAATACAAACAGCCTCCCATGAACCTCTTTCTGAAAGGAGCTTTTTCCATATGATGGGTTATTTTCATAACACAGAGTCCTAGAATAGAATTTCTGGGTCAAAGTTATAAATATTCTAAAACCTCTCAGTACAACTCTTCACATGGCTTTCTAAAAGGGTTGCATGAGTTTCCCCTGTGAGCCCTGGTGAGAGAGCCAGCCTCATATTGCTGCCAGCACTGACTGGGTGTTTACAATATTGTTTTCCTTATTTCTTTGACCAAAATAAAAGAAACTGCATTGCTGGCTTATCCTGCATCTGATTATGACTGAAATCGCTCCTTTACCCCTTTTGCTGATGGGTGTATTTTTTCTAACATACAAATACTTACATTTTAATGTATTTTTATTATTTATTCTTTTTATTATTTTTAAAATAGAGACAGGGTCTCACTCTGTCATCCAGGCTGGAATGCAGTGGCGCCATCGTAGCTCACTGCAGCCTTAAACTCCTGGGCTCAAGCGATCCTCCTGCCTCTGTCTCCCAAGTAGCTGGGACTACCGGTATGTGCCACCACACCCAGCTAATTTTTAAAAATTCTTTGTGGTGATGAGGTCTCAAACTCCTGGGCTCAAGTGATTCTCTCACCTCAGCCTCACAAAGCACTGGGATTACAGGTGTGAACCACAGTGTCCAGCCTACATTTGAATGTACTTATTTATGTGTGTTTTATAAATTTTTAATTTTAAATTTATACGGGTACATAGTAGGTGTATATACTTGTGGGGTACATGAGATATTTAGAAACAGACATACATTGTGTAATAATCACATCAGGGTGATGGGGTATCCATCACCTCAAGTACTGATCATTTCTTGTGTTATGAACATTCCAATTACACTCTTTTAGTTGTTTTAAAATGTACTATAAATTCCTGTTGACTGTAGTCACGATGTTGTGCTATCCAATACTAGATCTATTCATGCTAACTATGTTTTTGTGCCCATTAACCATCCCCACTTTCTCCCCACTCCCCTCCACCCTTCTCAGCCTCTGGTAACCATCCTTCTACTTTCTATCTCCATGAGTTTAATTTTTAGCTCCCACAAATGTGTGAGAACATGCGAAGTCTGTCCCTCTGTCTGGCTTATTTCACTTAACATGATGTCCTCCAGTTCCATCCATGTTGTTTCAAATGACAGAATC